ATGCACTCCTGGGACCTCTCCTCTACCTGTGCTCACGCCAAAGGTGATGGCAGGTAGTGGCATGCTTTACGTGATAGCCACGTAATGTTACTCTCACATTTCTAAGCTCTGTCCGCTCCCCCTTAGACTCCTGACTCCTATGTCCCACCATCTTGGATGTTTTGTGGGCATCTCAAATCTAACATGGCAAAAGTCACACTTACGATATCCCCTCTAAGCCAGCTCTTCCTATATCCGTACCCATCTCAATAAAGACCAACTCCATCCTTTAGTTGCTAAGGTCAAAAACCTTGACTTTCCTATATCTGTATCTATTCTTTATTGTTTCATGAAGAGGCATCTCACCTCCTGATCTCTTTGTCTTACATCCCATTGCTGGTCTACCTATAAGTTTTAATGACTCCACCTCAAAAATATGCCTACTATCTTGATCCACATCAGCAATCTCCTAACTAGTCTTCCTCCTTCCATCCAGGCCACACTGATCCTTTTAATACAAACCAGATGAACTCACTATTCTGCCCAAATCCTTCCTAAGGCTCCTCACAACACAACGGGCAAAAGCCAAAGTTGATATGATCACCTACAAGGCCCATGTAAGCTGGCCCTCATTCCCATGATCTCTCTGACTTCATGTCCCACTACATTTCCCATAGCAGGTATCCTTCTGCCACAGGGCCTTTGCATGTTCCCTTACCACCCAGAAAAGCCATCCTTAACCATCCTATAAGAAGTGCAACCACCCACCCACCTTCAACCCTTCTGCTTTATCTCCATGGCACTTACCAGCCATCTGGCATATTATATATGTCTTTGCTTATTTGTTTATTGTCCAACGCCACCATGAAGGCAAAGATTTTTCTCTGTTTACCACCATTTCTCAAGAGCCTAAAATAGCATGTAGCACAGATTAGGGGTTCATATTGGATGAATAATCCGAATGGAGGGTTCTCAATTCAAGCTCTCAGAGCTTGACACCAGTATCTCACTATATCTGTATCTATCCCTCATTATTTCATGAAGAGGTATCTCACCCCCTGGATGAGCTTAAATTATCCATGTAGGCTCCTAAGCCTATCTCCTTTTACTTTCTTAGAGACCTTATTCTATCAATTTCTTTCTTCCTCATATCTTTTTCTTCTCTACATTCTCTTTTTCCCTGTATGTACAAAAAGTTCTGAATATCTTGCTACCCTCTTTAGTTGCCATCCTCACTCCTTTTATCACAAAACCACTCAGAAGAGTAGTTGACATGCTTGTCTACACTCCCTCCCCACTCACTCAATCCCTCAGTCTGGCTTCTATCACCATCACCCTACTGAAAATATGCCTTTGAAAATCCTGAGGCCACCTTATTGGCAAGCCCAGTGCATTTTTCTCAATGCTCCTTCTCATGACCTCTCTACAGTGACATTGCTGCCCTCCCCCACTCCTCCTCCTGGAAACCCTTTCCTATCCTGACTTCTGTGATGACCCACAGTCTGCATCTCCTCTCACCAGCATGAACATTCATTCTCAGTCCACTGTATGGCCTCCATTCCCATCATAGCTATTTTACCCTACGTTCTTTTCTCTCCATACCCAGTGGCATAAATATATCATCTATGCCCAAAGCTTTACATTTCACCTTTGTGAGGATGACTCCAAAATTTATAGCTCCAATTCTGGATATTTAATTGCCTTTCATACATCTCTACCTAGAGGCTCTACCATCACCTCAAACTCAGCATGTCTAACTCTGAAGTCTTCATCTTGCTCTTTCTCATAATTCCTGGATTATTAATGGAACTATCATCCTATTTATATTCATGGAACTGCAGAATTCTCTCTGATGTCTCCCTTTCCCTCACTCACTACATCAAATCAATTTGCAAACACCCACTTCTTGCACAGCATCCTTGGGATTCATCTCTTCATTTCCATAGTCAGCAACTTGATCCAGTCCCAATACCCTATAGGAGCTATCTAATATGCTCCTATATCTCCCAACTCGAAGTATCTCCTAACCTACAGCTTCCTAAACTACATCTCAGATCATGGCATACTTTCCCAATTAAAATATGGTTTCCTACACTTCCACTAAGTAAGGTTCAAGCTCTTTAGTCTGGCTTTTAAGGCCAACCAGAGGCAGGACCCAGGCTACCTTTCTTGACGGCTGTTTTTCTGTCTTTGTGAAACCTCTTTCTCCAATGACCCTATTCACTTTCCAAAATCCTACCCATTGTCCAAGCTCTGTTTAAAACCCACACTCAAAACAGAACCACTTCAGTCTCTCTTGCTGATGGTGATATCTCCTTTTTCCTCAATCCCGCAGAACTTTCTCCATACTTCCCTTATTACTAATGACTTAAATGTTCCAGTTCTCTTTTCCTCTTACTAAATTCTATACTCCTTAAGGATAAGATCCACATCTTGCTTCCAACATGCATTGAAATCTCTATCTCTAGAGACATTTGAGATCAGTCTAGTCACAGAACTGGGATCAGAAGATAACTTGATTGGACTCACCAACTCTGACTCTTATTTCTTTTTCTTGTCTTATTGCACTGGCTAGGACATCCAATACAATGTTAAATGATAGTGGTGATAATGGGTATGCTTACTTTGTCCCTGGCTGTGATAATATTTCTAATGTTTCATAAGAAAGTATAGTTTCATAAGAAAGTATAGCTACAGGTTTCTAGTACATACCTCTTATTAAATTTAAAAAAAAAACCTACATCATTATTCTCTGAAATATAAGCTGAAATAAAACATAAGAAGTTGTTGGATTAAAGTGGAATGAACCAGGGACATAATACAGAGCATGGAGGATAGCCAAGTAGGAAAATGAAGACCTGAGGGAGAAAAGCCAGGAGAAACTAGATCAAGTTCATGGCCATGAAGACATTCTCCCTCAGATCTGAGCTTCCTGGGTTACTCATGTTAAAGCTTATGTTCCAGCTTCTTATGGAATTTGAATGAGCAGAAAGACGTGATGCTGGAAATTTATCCTTCCTGGCTACTAGACTATTCTGCACATTGATCCTGCCTATGTGCCTTTATCTACACTTGCATGGCAAACATCCTGAAGAGCTACTAAGGATCTGCTGACATAAGAAACACTGTTCCTGACTGGCATGGACCAGAGAGACCCCTTTATAGGCCTGGAAACCAGGTATAACTGCCCCTCTATGCATATCATCCCTTCTCCTGAGTCATACACAATTGATGGAAGAAATGGGAGCAGAGATGTGCCAATAATATCACCCTTTCCTATCATTCTTGGCAGCCAAAGACTGAGCAACTACGAGATATAGAGGTTGAACATCAAGCCCTCAGAAGCTAGTAGGAGAGAAAAGGCTGAGGGGAGATGCACTACAAGATAGGCATCCTTCCTGAAACATTCAGGTATGCCTTCCTCTTGAGCACGCTCCAGGAGAGCTATACAGAAGAGTTTTGTTAGGGGGAGGTAATTCATCTTGTTCCCCAGAGGAAAGTCCTCTGGATCCTACCCTTCATTAGGCTAAAAATGTGACTATTCCTCAGGCCACTACTCCAATTCTGTAAAATATTGGTAGAGCTTCGTTCCCCTCCCTCCAAAAAACCAGGAGGAAAAGTCTGGCCACTCCGATGGAGTCTTTCTTTCACTGCTAGGGTTACAGAGCTACTTGCCCTGTGTTTTGTCTCTTGGGTAAAAGCAATGATGCGCTGCTAGACTAGCTCTCTAGGGGAGAGCCCCAGTTTCAATGGTGTAACTTCTTCCCTTATGGCCAATTTCAAGTTATTGAGCTGGGGACTGTGCTCTGCTCTGGGTGTCCATGCCCCCACACCCAGGGCCCCGCCCATTAGCCAGCTGGACTTCTTCCCCAAACCCACCATCCATCCCCAGCAAGGGTGTCTCCCTCTCCTTGCAGCTGGCATGGTGACTCAGCTTCCCTTAAATTTAGGAAAAGGGGGTGAAGAGCAGAGTCAGCTGCCCAGATTGCTCTTCTCCTCCATAAGCTTCCACCACTCTGTCAGCCAAGGAATTGTACACTAGCCCTCCGCCCCCAGCCCTAGTCTCTGGTTCACACTTGCCTTGGTTTTAGCTACACAACAAATCAGCCCATAGGATTCTCCACACAGTTTGACTGCCTCCATGGAATGGTCATAGGCTTAGGCCAGTGGAAAGGAAGGGGATCCTTCCTGTCCCCCCAATATGGCCAAAACAGTCTGCCATTTCTTGCCTATATCTCCCCAATAAGTTCTTCCAGTTGCTCGACTCTCTCTCCTCTCTCCAGAAAGATAAACCCATTCACGTTCTGATAGGAAATGAAGCTTTGTTTCTTAGTGTCTTGCTTCTCATACAAAGCTGGTCCCAAAGCGAGGACCAACAGGACAGGATAACTGGACCAGAAGGGGACATCGGCCTCCCCGAAACAGAAATATCCTGAAAGGACCCACCAGGGTTGGATACCCTCTCAGGTTTTGTTATGCCCAAGAGGGAATTTGGGTCTACAGAGACCTCCCTCTAGCCTTCTCTGTGCCTTCCCTAAGAAACTGAAGTCTGAGTACAGACAGCTCTACAGGCAGTTACAGAGGCCATTTCCTCTCTCCTTAGAAGATATGTACTCCAGCTCTACAGAGTCACTACCTCCAGGAAGCTCCCCGATTGTCCTAGCTGATAAGCCTTGCTTTTCCCAAGCTCTGGGGCTTTGGTCTCCACCTCTGTTGTGGCACACATTGCACTCTGTTAGAATTACCTGACCCTCACTAGACTGTAAGCTCCTGGAGGACAGGAACTGAAAGACACTGATCTTTCCATCTCAATGCCTGTTTGGAGCCTAACGAACAATGAATGCAAGAAGGGATGGCTAGGGTGGGCTCCTGCCAGCCTCTTTTCTAGACCAAACCAGTGTCTGCTGAGGTGTGATGGCTCTGCCTGTACCTTCCCAAGCTAGACCAACTGAGACCAACGAGGGAAGATGTGGAGGGAATAAAGAAGGGATACCCAGCACGATGGTCCCTGAGGCTCTTACCTGCTACCCTGTGGGCCACCAGCCCCTCCAGGTTCAAGGGCTCCTCCTCCGGAGTTCGGGATGGGTCTGAAGTGGCCTCCTTTGGTGGGAGCTGAGGCTGAGCGGTGAGGCCAGGGAGAGAGGCGGGGGGCTGCTGAGGCCCTGGAGGGCTGTGGTTGCTTGGAAGGAAAGCAGGCAAGGAAGAGGAGGCAGCTGGGCTCTTTGGACGGTAGCTCTGGTTGGGTCCAGCCTGATAGTCATAAGGTGAGTAAGACCTGCCCTGAGGGACGGGCTCCAGGGAGGCCCGTGGGGCTGGCTCAGGGGTTCCCAAGGAATGCCCACTGGGGATGTAGCCAGATCTGGACTGGGTCAGCGGATGGGTCTGGTAGGAGGAGCCGGAAAGAGGCTGAGAAGAGAGTGGGGAAGCCCCAGGCCAGGCCCCAGGGACACTCTGGGATTTGTGCAGCGGGGCGGCAGCCGAGGATGGCTCGAGGTCCAGCATCAGCATGTTGAGGGCTTCGATGGACTGCTCGATCTCCTGCTGCGAGGCTGCCCTCGGGAACTCAGGGAGGCCAGGCGTGGGCGTCTCTGCCAGTGGCTGGGGGCCGGGCCTGCTGGGCCGGACACTCTCCAAGTGGGCTCTTTCCTGCTGGCGAGGAGGCAGGTGAGGCTGCTGCTGCTGCTGCTGTTGCTGCCAGGAATTGAGGCCCCTCTGCACAGCCTCCCGACTGCTTCCCCCCCGGGCTGGTGCTGGGGGCAGCTGGGGCTCCGTGTCCGGGAAGGACTGAGAGCGGAACATACTGCTGGGGTCGTGGCCATAGTGGGAGGTGGCCACTTGCTGTGCCCAGGTGGGGTGGGGGCCCTCCCGCTGGTAGCCAGCTAAGCCCTCCTGCGCAGAGTAGGAGGGCCGCATGGGAGCCACGTGGCCCGCATGGGTAGGCACTGCCCGGCTGGCAGACTCATAGGGGTAGCCCCCACCATTCACCATCGGCTCCATGGCGTAGGGCTTGTCCAGGCCATTGGTCAAGGGGGACAGCGCCTCCGGGTAGCCCCCCTCGCTGGTGTTGGTGATGCCATCCAGGGAGGACAGTGTGCCCATGCTGCCCACGCTGTGCCCGTCCTGGTTGGGCAGTTCATCATCCAGAATGTCCGTCTCCCGCTCAGATGTCAACGCCCCACCGTTGACGTGGACCTGGGCCGGGACGACATGGCGGCCAGCAGAGGGCAGGGCAGGGCCCCCCGCCAGGCGGGACCGGAGGTGTTGGGCGTGGTACATAGCGCCCGGCTTCTCTCGTTCTAAGCCGAAGCCGCTGAGCAGGCGCTCCAGCTCGCGCTTCTCCTCGGGACTCAGGGCAACAGGGGCACCGGCAGGGCCGAGGGCAGGCTCATCGGTCTTGTCTGTCTTGGTGGAGGCGGTGGAGTTGCCAGAGTCGCTGCTCACGGACAGGGTGTGCTCCACGTGGTTGGGAGTGGCCGACAGGGCAGGGCGCGTGGCACTGACGGCCCCGGTGCTGCCATTCAGGGAGTCTTTCCTCTTCACCTTGGCATACAGGCTCCCGTCCAGGGGCCCCTGCGTGTGTCCCACCACCTCTGCAGAGGAAGAGCAGATGTCAGCGGGAAGCGGGGACAGCTTCTCTTCTCCCGAGGAGAGGAGTGAGGGCTTCCATTCCCTGGATTCTAAAACCTCCTCTCAGTACCCGAGACAGAGCAAGGCAAAAGGACTACAGGACCCCCCCCCCAGCACCCTGCTTCAGGGCCAGCCAGCAGATCTTAAGGTTGGGCAGAGGGTCTTGGGGGTTAAGTCGCCCCGTCCAAACGTTGCCTCTGGCATCTTGCTAGCTTCCCAAGGACCTGGGAGCGCTGGACCAAAGCCAGCAGGCCCTGTGTCAAATGAGACACATTCGCCCTGAATGCTGGGGACGTGAAGGTTCTGGAAAGGGGTTGGGGCGGGGGCAGGGAAGCATCTTAGAGATCAAGAACAAAAGGCAGAGGCTTTCACCAGGGAGAGGTGCCCCCGCCCCCCTCGGTGTCATTTTGTCCACAGACAGCTCCGGGCCCTGAGCAACGCTTTCTCTGAAAGGAAAAAGTGAGCGCCGGTGGCTCAAGGCCAAAGGGCTGACTCAGGAGCGAAGAACTTCCCCCGTGCAGAGGAACTCAGTGATTTCACACCCTGTACAGTCAGCAGCCCAACTCCCAGCCCGAGACACACACACACACACACACACACACACACACGCACACGCACACACACAGAGACATACACACACACATAGACACACACACAGAAAGACACACATGCGCACACACGTGCACACACAGAGACACACATGCACACACACGTGCACACACAGAGACACACATGCACACACACACACACACACACACACACACCTTCCCTCACTCCAAGGCAAGCCCCCACTTGGCAAAAAATAAAAATAAAAAGTTTATCCCAAATACTGCACAAACCCCAACCCAGACCCAGTCTCTCTCTCTCTCTCTCTCACACACACACACACACACACACACACACACACACACACAGAAAACCTGGCACAAAGATGTCCAGAAGTCTACATGCCAACCAGTAATCACCCAAATCAAGCACCCCATGTTCACCCACAACAAATGCCCAGGTCCCCCAGCCAGAAAGCACACTGTGGGCACACACATGCAAACACAACTGATAATAATGGGTACCATGCAGCCAACATCTGTTATGCGCCGAACACTTTGCTATACACTTTACACATACGTTGTTTCTAACCCTGTGTGTTAGGGAGTGTTCTGCCTCCTATTTCAAAGATGGAGACACTGAGATCCTGAGAGGGGAAGCTATTTATTGGCAGATACACAGAACCTGGTAAAGCTGGGGTTTCATATCAGAACTCATTTAAGACAACAAACATAAAACTAAACTAACAACAGAAATTCAAAAAGCACACAATTTTTATTATTATTCTGCACTCACTGGCTCTCGTATCTCAGACATGCGTACACACACCATAGAATGAACACATGACAGGCAGCAGTACCCCAAAATAAATTCTTAAATATAAAGCTACACCCATTTCAGAAAGCACAAGCTCCTCCCAGGCCCCCGGATCAGCCCTGGGGCCAGAAGTGGCAACCTCTAAAAATAAACGCTCGTACAGAAACCCACGGCCAAGAACAAGTGGCCAGACAACCACAAAACAGGAACATCCTGATCGGCGCGCATACACACACACACACACACACACACACACACCACAGGTCGGCCGAATGATGTCACCCATCGAGTGGGAGCGCAGAGAAGCCCGACAAGCATCGTCCACATACACACACCCGGGCCAGCAGCAGAACCCAATGACCCTGGCCAGAGTGTCGCCACAGGACTCATGGGGACGGGGCTGGTCAGAGTGGGAGAGGGGTTTGGGCTGAGATAGGTCTGGAAGTCCAGCAGCCTGGGCCTTGTGCCGGGACCCCTGTGCAGGCTGCTCGTCTGCCTCCACCCTAAGGGGTCGACACTGTCAGGTGGGAGAGCCTGACCCTCATGCATGTCTCTCCAAAGAACTGGGTGCCTTGCTACACAAAAATGCGTAGAAGTACTAAAGACAGGAGCCTCGAACCCACTCAGATTTCTGGGGGTGGTTCCGGGGGGATGGGCCCCTCAGACCAGTGAGTGGAAGTCTGAAGAGCTCTCTCCCCTCTGGGCCTGGAAAGCTGCTGACCCCACAGAAGCAGGCCCATTCCCGAGGCTGAGGCCCACGCGGCAGCCCACACCATGAGATGCCAGAATGTTCCTCCTGGGCCAGGGGCACCCTCCGTACCCTACACCCCCAGTTCCCCAAGACCATGCTCACCTGGTCTGGGAAGTGGGGAAAGCAACAAAGCAGAGGATGGGGTGCCCCATGCCTTCCCATTTATACTTACACGGAAGGCCAAGAGAGGCACCGGGCGCAAATCGGAGAGTTCTCTCTCCTTCCAGAGAGCAGACTCAGGCCAGTACTCCCCTTGGGAGCATAAAAGAAGTGGTTTGGGCAGAGAAGCTAAGAAAGCATCCCCGAGGCTGGGAGGGAGAATTCACACCAATTCCCATCACCTGATATCCTGGCCCTGCCGGCCGGCCCCACTCTTCATTGATTTTGAAAATGTCAATATTAAATGGGTTCTGCCGTGTAGTTTATCCCCACATGGGCTCCTGTGTGCAGCAACAAGGTCAGGAATGATAACTGCCAGGCCACGAAGGCTTGGGAAGAAAATCAAGGTGTGTAAATAGTATAATTAACTCCTGTTTGCTTCATACACGTGGACAGGTCGATGTGTGCCCTCACAGAAGGCCCCGGCTGCTCCTGACCGCCCAGTGCTGGCCGAATGCTCCAGGCTATTCTGCAGCCCTCACTGGTCACCTGCCTCTGCATACCAACGGGAGAAGCTAAGCACAGACCAGTCCCAGGTCTATCCGGGCCCTGAGAGGGCTCTGCGGTGTAACACAGCGCATGGGCAGGACCTGGGGGGCACCTGCCCCTGCTCCTCCCGTCAGAGAGGAAGGTGAGCCCCTGCTCCCCACACCTCCTCCCGCCCACTATGGCCACACTAAGAGCTATCTGCCAGGACCACAAGATGCCGGAACACAAGGCCGGTTTAATCTATTGTGGCAGGAAGGGTGAGAAAGAGAGGGGCGAGTAGAGCAAGGAGAAGGAGTAAGAGAGACTGGGGAAGGAAGAGAGAGAGCTTCGAGGAGGGGGAGAGTTCTAAAGCTGAGGGCTACCGGGTCCATCTCAAGTCTCAGCAGATTCCAGGAATGGCCAGTTCAGGTGAAAACCGTCTCAGATGAGGAGTGGGACAACAGCAGGAGCGGGTAGAGGGAGGAACCTGCCTGGTTGGGGTCGTGGGTACCGGCATGGATGACAATGGAATAGAGCTGTGGTCAGCCAACTGTGGCTTGAGAGCCACATGCAGCTCTTTGGCCCCTTGAGTGTGGCTCTTCCACAAAATACCAGGCCTGGGCAAGTCTATGTTGAAGAAGTGGCGTTAGAAGAAGTTTGAGTTTAAAAAATGTGGCTCTCCAAAGAAATGTCAATCGTTGTGCTGTTGGTATTTGGCTCTGTGGATTAAGGAGTTTGCCGACCACTGGGCTAAGGGAATACACCGCAGGGGAAACACCAGTTAGACAGGCAGGGGAGCAGGCTCCTAGGCCTCATGCCATGCCAGCCTGGCCAGCTGGTCCTATGGCCGTCTCACTGCCCACTTCTCTAGGGAAGCTGGGAAGTCCACAAATGGCTCCACTTGTTTCCCCTGAATCTGCCTCCCAGTTCCTCCCAGCAGCTGCTCCGAGCCCGGGACTCCACCCTCAATGCTGACTTCGCCTGCACCAAGGAGCCCTCCTTCCAGGGCGGCCGCGGTCCAGCTGTGCGAGGCATGCTTCTGGAGAGCTCCGAGGAGCATCCCCGGCGACTGGGAAGCCGCCCTGCTCCCGGGCTCCCTGCAGGGAGCGGCATGGGAGCACGTGGGGCCAGAAGCACAGCGCAGGCCGGAGCGCACTGAAGCGACGGCAGCCCATCCACTTCAAACAGAACGAAAGAGCTCAGAGGGAAAGTAGCGGAGGGTGGCGGTAAGGGGAAGAGATCACCCAAAGGACTGTGTGCGTGCATATGGGCCTGGCCAGTGGCCATGGACAATGGGGGGGGGGGGATGGGAATGGGGGGGATGAGGACAATTATGTGATACCTTAATCAATAAAATTTAAAAATAAATAAATAAATAAATAAATAAATAAATAAATAAACATGGGATACCGAGACATGGATTCAGGACAGGTGTTTTCTAGTTCTGATGTCCATGAGAATCTCCTCTGGGGTTTGTAGATTCTGGGGCCTGATCTCCAAAGGTTTTTACTCATAGGTCTGGGGCGGGGCCAGGAGGCGGCATGTTAACTGGCTCTCGAGGGTCCCGGCGCACATGGTGGGGAACATCTTAACCAGCCCAAGGTGAAGGACCCTGCTTCTCTCACCGGCGTCCAGTGGGGAGGTTTCCGTGTGTAGATGTCAGGACAGGAGGCCCAACCGTGAAGGCTACAGGGCGGCAGCCTGTTTGACTGCAAGAAAGAGGCTCCCCGGCGATGACTGGGTGAGGAGAGACCCCCTCCCTGTCCAGCAGCAGGCCTGGTTTGAACTGTGGCTGATTTATTAAGGTTTTCAGGATGGGACCCTTCGTGATAAAAAGTCCTCTGAGTCCACGCCCAGCAGGATAACAATTCATTAAGAGACATTACCCGGAGCCATGATGCCGACGGTCATGGAGGAAAATCAATGCCGTCCGATAGCAGAGGCACAGTGCCCGCCCGGGATGCAGGTGGTTTGGAGGCAGACAGGGGCCCCAGCAGGTTAGGAGGGAACCTGGCTCCTCCCACGTGGGAATATGGCATCAAAAGGCCATATGTGTCTGGGAGGTAGTGAACTTTGACAAGAACTGAGGCCTGGCCAAGAGGCAGCTAGAGGAGCAAGTTCTAGATATGTTAACCCTTTAGCCACAGACCCCTCCCCCCCAATTCTGGAGGGTGCCAGGCTGCCGAGAGGCAACACTGGAGCCAGAGGATGGGGCTGAGTCCC